TTCTGCTTATACTGCTACTAAAACGTCCTTAAGCTATTCGTCGCCATGTAGGGAAAGCTTTAAATGTGCGCAAGGAAAGTAACCACCACAGCTACCTAAGTGACATTTGAAAACGTGAAGTTCCACGATGACTGCACACGGCAAACAAACTCATTTGTTTGCTTTTGGCTGACCCTGTGTAATTAGAATTATTCCAGGTTGAAAGATAAGGTCTTGGGCCCGCTGCGCGCGCGCGCACACACAGGAAACATTAAAAATAGGATTCCTGCTCAAAACTATGGCAACATTTTGTCTGCTTATTGGATTCACAGGGTGCCCACTGTGTGTGTGTGCGCGCGCGCGCCCGCGCGTGTCTGAGCGCATGGATAAGCTTATTTCAGGCCCGTCCTTCATAGTGTTGTTTTAATGTGTATCTGTAGACGCGATCTTGTAAGTTTTGTTTGCAATTGGCTTGTATGTTATATCCCTACTGCTTTGTAAGGCAAGATTGTTGCAAATAGAAACCCCGTCACCGGATTCTTATGATCCCGTGGGATCATCGGAAAGATCAAAATATGCGTAGTTTTTTTTTTCTTTTTTAAGGGCTGGTAGGCAATTATAAATTTATTACTCCGGGAGATTACTGCAATGAAAACGAATAACAGGCCATAGTGCGCGTTCATTTCCTTACTGCGCTGAAAAATGTCCAACTTAATAAGTCATTTAGTCTCATATTCAGTCCTAAAATGTACTCTTCTTAGCACAAATGAAAAATCACGTCGTGTTAGCTGTTTCTTGTGAAAGATCGCTTGAATATGAAGGCTTCAATTTGTTCTGTTTTGGTGCTATTTGTTTTTGTTTTTTGTTTTTTTTCTTTCCCGAAACAAGGCTAAAGAGTTCAGATCATGCTTTGGTGTCATTGCAGTGACACATGGAAGTGAAAAAGAAAACCAGTTAGTTTGCATTGGAAACAAGTGAGCTCATTTTACCTCCAGCGTGGCGCCATTTCCTTACAGGGTTGAATTAAAATACAAATTTAGGACTCAACACTAGATTAAATAAGTTTTCATAAGTTAGTCTCTCTCTTTTTTTTTAATTATTATGATTTTTTTTTTTTTACCGCGTCATATTTTACGTACCTTTCTTTGCTTCTAAATTTGCGGTTCTGAAATGCTGTTGCTGCTGCTCAACAACAATCTGGTTTGGATTATTTTTAACGAGGGGAGAGTCTGGCCTGTGTTTGGGGTTTGTGCTGGCCTCCAGAGCCTGCTGAGAAGAACTGAGACCCTCGTTTGCAGCAGCAGCGGCAGCGGCGGCGGCGGCAGCAGCCAGACTCACTCCAGATGAATTAGTGTACCGCAGGATCCCTTGACCCTGCAGGGGGCTGAAGTTGCCATAGTTTGTGTAATTGCTATAAAAGGGTGAAGTGTAATAAATAGGTCTTCCGAGGATGGAGGGGGGCGGGTAGAGGGAGGGCGAACTGGCAGCCGGGGAGGCTGCGGAAGGCGTTGGGGAAGTGAGAAGTCCACCGCTGGAGGAGGGGCAATTTGGTTGCCCAGTTGACTGCCCCAGTTGCTGTTGCTGATGTTGGTGCTTTTGGTCCGAGGTAGCAATTTCCGCCAGCGACCACAATTTGGGTTTGACCGTGGGGTTAGGAGGCGCTCCCGAAGAAGGCCTGTTGTCAAGGCATGAGGAGGATTTATTGGTGTTAATATTGTTGCTACTGACGAGGCTCCGTGCTAAATCCTCGCGTTGGCTGTGGAGGTGGTGGAGATGGTGGAGGTGGTGGTGGTGGTGGTGATGGTGATGACTGAGAACTGGAGCTTCTACTCCGGTCAGTGGCGATGACGTGACGGGTTTAGGTGAAAGCTGAGCCCGCTGGTCGCGGTTTGGGTCCTCGCCGTCCTCTTCGCATTTGTCGCCGGCTTGTTCCGAGCCAAGCTCTCCCACACAGCTGACCTTCTCCCCGTCTGACTCTGCCGAGCAGGAGTGGTCCGTCAGGGTGTCTACGTGCAAGCTGATGCCTAAGACGAGCATGCAAATAAATGGAAAAGGGTTAGAAATGTTAAAGAAAGTGAGAAAGTCTCAAAAGTAAACTGTATAAAACTTATAAAGTCCATTAATCGTTAATACTTTACAGCCAGCCTTACTTAAATAGTGGTACATGCATCATTTATAAAGTAGGCTGGATTTAATGTATATTTTATACCATAACAATTGTGCTGTCTTTTTTTTTTTCACATAATCATGCACGTCGACGTTTTCATCGTAACAATATTAACAGTCTAGTTTTATTGAGACCACTTATGGCTACTGCTATGCTCGGTGTCTGCTTGCCAGTGACCTGTCATTAATCACGCTTAAGAAAATAAAATGTTCCTTCTAACAGGTCATTACGTGTAGCTTGAGTCTTAGAACCTCGTTTTTCATTAAAAATTGATATCAATCAACTTGGCTACCTAAATAGTTCGTGGACTCGACTGTCTTGCAAACACATTTTAATTTAAAAAATATATATATGTGTGTGTGTGTGTGTTAGAACTATAATTCACGTAACTGAGTTATAATTTCATGTCTTTGATATTTTGACATAAAGCAGCAGTGCAGCACATAACTTGTGAAGTAAATAAAATGGGCACCCCCTCCTTCCCATCCAACTCTGAATTGATCATGACCTGGTCGCCGGATAATACCCCACCTTCATCCTCCGCTGAAGCCTCGCTGTTATCCAGGGTTTTTTCTGAGCGCTCCACTTCTTTCCTCTCGCCGTCCCCGTCTTCTTCGTCCTCGTCTTCGCTCTTATTCCGGGGTGCCCATGTCATCTTATTCTCCTTCTTGAGCCTCCTCCGAGCGTTTGCGAACCAAGTAGAGACCTGCGTCAGGGTCATCTTGGTGATAATTGCCAGCATGATTTTTTCTCCTTTCGTCGGATACGGGTTTTTCCTGTGCTCCTGCAGCCAGGCCTTCAAGGTGGCCGTGGCGTCCCTGGTGGCATTTTTGCGGTAAGCCGGGTCGTTGAGCTGGAAGGGGTATCCTGGGCTCCCGTAAGGGGGATAACTCAACGCCCCGGCCATGCCTGTGGTGTGCGCGTCGTATGGAGAGGACTGGATAAAAGTTGGAGGAAAAAAGAAAGAAAGAAAAAAGTCAAGAGCTGAGCTGAGTTAGACTGACATTAAAAAGAATTTAAAAAAAAAATTGACATTAATGTGGCTTGTACAAAGTGACTTATATTGAAAAACAATTTCCTATGCGTTGGAAATTACAAATTTATATGTATATATAAACTTTACATTTTGACGAATAATAATAAATGATAAGACAAAAATTACATCATAAGTAGCTATAACTGTACATGCTTTATTCAACAGTGTTTTAAAAAGTAGGCCTATAACCATTCCTTTTTGAAAAACGTGTCCAAACAAGTGAAAAATGACGGGACTCAAATATAAAAGTAGTACCAGATTTTATCTTCATTTTATATCAATTATATATTATAAAGTGATTTAAATATCGTCGCAGGATTTCGGAATGCAGTGGACTGTTTCATATAAACAAAGCATAAATAATAACTAATTGTTTAAGTATTATTGTTGTTATTGTTGTTATGGTTTAACCCACTTGTCGGGTTGAATCAAAAAGGACTAATTGTAAACAGGCATGCTGAACACATCGTGGGCAAAAGCAGGCCACAAAAAGCCGAGGAGTAATGGTTAACTAATGGTTAGGATCATTATCGGATTAACTAATAACAGGGTTCCCCTTTATATAGCAGTTAAGATAACAAAAAGGAAATTTTAATTTTCTTTAATCACCTATTAACCAACTCATTTCCTTTCAGTGGCTGCTTTTTGTTTATGGTGGCAGCTCCAATGTGTTAACATATCGTCTCTTTGCAGCATTAGAAATCCCATTAGCGAATCACTTGATGTGCACCTTTCCTAGAACGCTTGAGGTGCCCTGTGTCATTAACATTGCGAGTCATGCTTTTCGTGTTAAAATTTAGTTTATTTAACCAAGAATTATACCACCCCATCCATTCCTGATTTTAGTGCGTGGCTGATGAAGAAAAGGGTCATCGTTTGTGTTATATTCGATTTCTATGGCGCATAAAGTCGATGTTTAGAAGCCAGACGCTTAAAAGGCAATCCTAGGCATTCCATTTTATACAATTAACTGCGCAGGAAGTGTTAAGCGTCAATAAAGCCATTCCAATCTGCGGCTCACGATCAAAAATCCCATTTAAGTCAAGGGGGTCAAAGATTTTTATAGCGAGGACCCCTCTAGGAGGCCACCAGATATGAATGTATAGCACTCCATGGTAAAGTTCCGCAACTACTTTCTGTGGAGTGAATCATGACAAAAAAAAGAAAACGCAAACCGATTTATCGGCGCTGTTCGCCTGCGACTTTAAAACGCCGACAATCGCCTTCTCTGAAGCTTTATCATAAAGAAACACAAAGAAGATGTTTTACCATGTACGATGGGAATCCCGTGGTTGGATCCGTGGAGTATGACAGTGGAGTGGAGAAGCCTGCACCGGCCGAAGCGGAGAAAGCAGCTGACCCGGGATATGGGCTGAAGGCTGAGCCAGACGACGACCTCGCCAAGTCTTCGTTCCGCGGGGCGGCCAAAGCCGAGGCCCCGTAAGCCGGACATGAATACAGCGCCAGAGAGCCCGGGGGCTGGTAGAGGTAACCCTGAGGATAGGACATTGGTGAGCGCGCGTTAGGTCGCCGAATCCAAAAAGGGGGAGGAAAAAAAACGCACAAGGCGGCGGACAACAGCGGCCAAAATAATAAACAATCAACTCAATAATCAGCCGTGCAAACAGTCATCAGAGAGTGAAAATAAAAAAAGGCCTCCCTCCACTGCCCCCTTACTGGGAAAAACCCCCCGAAAGATCTGTTAAAGTGCCCACATAGAGGCAATGTGGCATGCGTCTTGATCCCCTAGCGTCCGATGTTTTTAGTACGCAGCACTATGAAGTGAGGAGTTAGGAGGGAACGAGCCAGTGGAGTTTCAGACACACAGAGCATTGGGGGAAACAGGAGCTGTCACTCCGGCTCATCTGAATATCCCATCCCCGCCCCCTTTCTGTCTGATAGAAATGGAGCCTCGGAACATAACCAAAGAATCCACACGGCAAATCGTAGCGTCCGTCCGTCCTATGAATAGACGTTTGACTTGGAATGAGGCTATTTAAAACTTTTTTTCACCCCCTTAGTATCAGACATATCCTCCAACTAAATGTTATAGTGATCCCAAATTATTAAGTCCAAGCCTCGCAGTTATAGCTCATTTTCCATTTGTTTCAAGAGAAATTCACCATGATTATACAGTCGACTCGCAACGTCCGTTTCAGTTTCATTATTTCAAAAACGGTTAAATCCAATTTAATTGGCTTCTTAGGCTGAGTATTTTTGCAGCACATGACATGCGCAGAAAGGGCGGTGAAATAAAAGTTCATCTGTTTTACTGACAGTATTTTTTTTCTTGTCGTTTTATTTTGCTTTAAAACTAAGTTGACTGTGGTACACGGTGTCTGTGTGATTAAATCCAATCCAATAACAACGGAAAGGCTGAGGAGGGAGATCGAACAGGAGCGAGAGTATAAAATGGCCAATGCTCTCCACTTGCAGCTGGTTATTTTTGCCTGTAGTTCACAAACCGACACATCCATGAACGTATGTGTACTCCGATATGTAGGCGCTCCTCACGCAGTGCGCGCTCTGGCCTGCGGGAGGCGTAAACCGCTCCCGAAGTTTCACTACTTAGCGCATCTACATGGCCTCCGCTTATTATTACAATTTCATTCATCACCAGTAATTACATAGGAGGTTGTGGTCTGTTGTCGCTTCATCAAGGGCGGTGTTTCCTCTATGCAGACACCAAGATTAACCACCAACTCCAACCAAGCTTGTTTACTTGGTCAGTGCGTTTGGATGCTCACCTGTACGCGTTGTAGTATATCTGTGTGCACTTAGGCCTGTCTTCTTGCTAATTAATGCATAGTCATTTGTGATTACACGCATTATGACCTCTGTTGGAGAAAAGAGATACAACACGCCGTGGCGACAACCTGAAACCAGTTTTGGAACAGACAGTCGAGGTGGCAGCTGTTGGCGGAAAAAAAGTGTAGCCTGGATTGGTTCAAATGAATGTGTATTCATCTAATAAGTTACTTATTCCTTCGCTGCATTGTGTTGTAAAAACAGTCTTTTCTGGGGGCATAATAACTGGGAAATAGTGATGTTTTGTGATCTGTTTGTGCATTTATATGGGCATCAGTTTAACTTATTTCACTTGTACTAATTCGTCTATAACAGGTGGCCTGTTAGCATGTGAATAATTTATATATAGGCCTCACACCTAATTAACATAAAATCTAATGTAAAAGAAGTAAATTTTGATTAATACTATATATGTGGATATTACTACTACTGGTACTACTACCAATACTAATAAAAATAATAACAACTATCTGTTATAAATTACTCAAAGTGTCCATATATTTAATCATTAAACATATTTTTTTTAAAGAAAAAAGTGAACAAATCAATCACTTACACATAGTGTTGCCCAAAATGTGTATTTTCACATTTTAATACTGTTTATAACACCATATAACTATACCGTTACATATAGTTATAGCATAAGGCAGGCAATTTACCATTTGTTAATTTTAACCACATGCTGTATTACTCTCATTTTTTTTCAACAGAAATTTACATTTGATTATTCTTAAAATCGACACGACCTAACATTGTTGTCCTAAAATTCCATAGTAGCTGGACTTCTAGAACACTTTTTAAAAACTCTGTTCCCGGAAATACATACAAAATAAGAGTAATATAAGTAAAGTTTTACTATAGGTACCTTTTTAAATTGTTTTATTGTTTGACAAAGATATATATTGTTTAATAGATTACAGAACTACAGATTATTTACTACATCCTTAATTATTTCATGATCTATGTGAATTTTACAGAACGGCTTGTGTTTTTTTTTTCTGCACATGCAGTTGGTTTCCATGTTTCAGGCAGGAGTAATCAATCGCAGAAGAGTAAATGAGTGCTCTCAAAATAGATCGGGTCAAGATATTATTGACCGGGAGTACTGAGTGGCCCACACCAGGGGGCACTGTCTCCTCTGCACACAGGGCATGGGCTAACTGTTAGTACTGTACCAACAAGTGTGTATATGTATGCATGGTCTGTGAGGCTTTATATCTGAAGGCATATACGATGGTTAAATTATATGCACGTGCATCTAAATCGTAAATGCAAGTCTGTGTCTATTTGGTATTCAGAAAGTACACCTGTTATAGCTGGTTAAAGTGCATAAGTTTGTGTGTCTGTGAGAGTGTGTGTGTCTATGTGGGCGCATGTTAAACTCCACAGTAGTGCATTCCAGGTCTCAGTTTCAGAAAGGCTCCAAAGATATTTTAGTCCCAACTTGATAAAGATACAGGAGATGGGAATGAAATGATTGACACATAGACAGAGCGATGAGGTAGACAGAGACAGGCAGAGAAAGACCTTATAGATCCAACAGAAATTAAAGTAGTGAAGAGGAACAGAAAAGCATGAGGTCAGACAGAAGCAGAGAGGAAAATGATGTGGACCTTTCAATATGAACTGAACACATCGCCAGTTTACTTGACTCCATTATAAAAGTACCTGAACACCATTTCCACGGACCATATACATTATTTCAAATTATTTGCATTGCTGTGATGCCGAGACCTGTACTATCTTTACTTTTATTAATAATTACAAAAGCATAATACACAAAAATATGTTTTGTGTTTCTTTTTATTATTCAATACCTTTTTATAAAAAAATAGACTTCAGGCCTAACTAACTGATGCTTTTGCAAATGATTGTTTAAAGGCTAAAAGTAGCTTTACTGTCTCTGCTCACTGATGATAGCCTAATATCAGGTGCTATTTTATAAGAAATCTTCTCTTCCCTTATGAATAAAAGAAACAATTATTGATTACCTCTCTCCCAGTATTTCCCCTCAACAAAATTTACCTTTAAATAACAATGAAGTTGCAGAGTTACTTGTAACAATGATTACCAGCAGCTAATTCTTTTCATAGAGTAAATTGCTCAGAGTTAAACTAAATAGCTAAAGGATAAAGCCTTTATGTCATGATATTTGTTCTCAACACAAATGACTAAATTAATATTGATTTCTAATTTTTCATACACTCTTGAACCTCTGGGATATGGCTGCAGTAAACTTTATTTGTATGGTGCGCAATGAAAGCAACTATTGAGGCTTGTGTTCACTAATTGTGTACATTTAGGGGAAGAGTTAGCTGCAGCTGGATAAATGAAGAAATATGGATGTATCTCCTTTACTGTAATTATCCGTAGCTCTAGGTGCATGGCAAGAGCTAGAAATGGACTTGTTATGTAGTCATATTGAGCTGATGTAAAATCAATTGAGTCTGGAATATAGCAGAATGATTAAAGGCAGAATGCACTGAGTTTGTCCTCCCTGAAAAGCAGCTTTTGTCTTGTGGTCTGTCTCTTTTGGACTCATACTGGTGATTTTGTACTTTGGGCAGTCATTGTTGCTCATCTAATCTTGTGTCATTAAAAAAAAAAAGGGCGTAATATGCTCTAACAACATTTATAATCCCAAATTTAGAAACACGTTAAAAAAGCTCAAAATATTTTATTCTCTGTGGGCTGGAGAAAGAATGTTTAGTATCCCAAGCTTGCACAAAGTACAGCATATGTGTGTTTTTTATGCTCATGTTTGTGCGTGGGTGTGCACAGGAAAGCAGAAAAACTGCATTGTGATCTTTCCTTGAGCAACTTAGTTAGCTGAGCAGACTTGAGCTTTATGTGATCAAAACAACTCCTCAAAACTCCCGAGATCAGTTTGAAAAAAAAAACAACCCAAAAAATGACAAAAAACCAAAATGCTGAAGTACACGACTTTGTTTAGCTGTCAGTGTGTCACAATTGTTGAATTTTGATGCGCTACTACAGTTCGTCTCGTTCCCTTTTTCTTTTTGTACATTGAGGGGGAGGGGTCAGTAAGGGAGGGGGCAACTCATGGCTGATGTGAGGGGTTGGGTGGCAGGCTGGCGACAGGCCGTCGTCTCTCTCCCCGCCTGGCATCTGCCCACTGCTGCCAACCCTCTTCTAATCAGCAGCCGTCCATGTGCTTGGCAGCAAAGGGGGTTTCAAATCAGCCCCTCGCCCCGAGTTAAAAACCCTAAGCCCTATCACTTTGTAAACGGGTACCTTTAGGGTGACTGAAACAGGGACGCCTCTGATGTGCTGAAGTGGAGAACATCGGTTGCCACGTTGCTTCAAATACATTATGCTGCTAGCGCTGTTGTTGCTGTTCTTCTTGTTTATAAGAAACTAAATCAGTAGAAAGCTCTTTCTTTATAGGTTTGATTTGTCTGACATGCTGCTAACTGACATGCATGTTGGAGGAAACTGTTCTCAGGCAGGAAAAGTGAAGAAGTAAACCGATGGGCTTGAAGTGTAATTCCTCCTGAAAAAAAGAGAAAGAAAAGCAGGGAAACAACAACTGTGCTTGTACTGAAACACAAGTCTTTATTTTGCTTTTATTTTGACATGCTGTCTGAGTTGGTAAGACATGTCGAACAATGCGGCTGCTATCTAATTCATGGGGAAAATGCCTCCCAAGTGCTGTGCTGCAAACTGCAAGAATAGAGGTTCTTCACTAAACACTGTCTCACCAATTCAGAATATTCAACATGAAGTAGTATACGACACAGAGTAGAATTTAAACAAGTCACACGATGATTAAACCAAAACTGTTAGATATGAAAGTCTTCTTACTATTTCCATTTTACAAATGATCATTTCAGAGTATGTTATGTGGTCTATAAAGCGTAAAGCTACAGGGCTCATTCATCTGCAGGCTGGGGGATTTAGGTGGAATGGCTTTTGGCTTCAGAAGTAACAAACACAAAGAATGGGCTATGTGGAAGAGGAAGAAGAAAAAAAAAGAATCCACAAATTATAGGAATTATGTGCAGCATGGGTTTCAAACACACACACATCCAGACAGACTGATTGATGAACGAAATGAGTTGCCGAAAATCAAAGGGGGAAATAAAGGGAGACACAAAGGGGGAACAATTTGA